CAACATCAGTACAATGCTATTCCATCCCCCCCAGAGGTCATCGAAAGAAACCCACTAACATAGCCAAAATTACCTTCCGTAGACATGACCTTCCCTTTAACGTCTACATAGGAGGAGAATCCCTCCCTGTTCGTCCATACCAACCTCCTCCACGTCAGTGCCAAAATTGTTGGCGTCTAGGACACCCAGCCAAACACTGCCGTTCCACAGCCAGATGCCCATTATGTGCCCAACCTGGCCATACCCGATCTAACTGCTCTGCACAATCACGCACATGTGCCAACTGTGGCGGCCCCCATAATGTATTTTATAGGGGCTGTCCCACCTACAAATTTGAATCTGAGGTAGCAACTCTCAGATTCAAACTCGGACTCACACTGCGTGAAGCCAGACAGGAAGCACGTCGACGTGGATTCTCTCTTACTCCTTACTCCAGTAATACTGCTCATTCTAACACTTCTCCTAAACCCACCCCTCCTACATCTAACCCCCCCCACTAACCCCACCTACCTTCCCCAGTCAAACTCTTTTGCCATCCTAAATCCAGAAACTCCAATCTCTACTACAGATACTCCAATCACCACTACAACCCCAACACCTTCCCCTCTCCCTCCTCGCACTCCCCGTAACAGACAGAACAAACGTTCCACCCCCTCTTCCCCTACCACACAATCACCCCCACCATCCTTTGCCCGTACTATTGAGACACCAGTCCTCTCTTCCCCCCCTCACAAGAAATCCTTTATCTCCCAAAACTCCCCAACCAACTCCACAGAAGAAACTATTGAATATTCAAGATTACTTAATGAAAACTGACATTCAACCTTCAACTCCTGCTCCTTCCACACTCCAAGTAATTGCTGATATCCATCCTCCTCCTAACGATATCCCCCCTACACCCTATCCTCCTACCCCCTCCCAACACAGCCCATCCCCCCCGACCCCGACCCCAACCCCGCCCACATTAACCCTCCCACCATCCCCTCTATCCCTTCCACTCCCTCCTGGATACACACGTGAATCCCTTATGTCACAAGTATCCCCTTCCTCAGACCCTCCATCTCCTAATACCCCTCCTGATAGAACACCAACTCCCACACCTCTCCCATCTCAAACCTCTCAGTCCTTATCCCACCCTCTAGCTGCTTCCCCTTCAAATTCTCCAACACGTACTACAATCTATATCACTAAATCAACGAAAGTATAACTATCCTTCATTAGAATATTCGCGGTTTCCGCTCCCACAGACCTGACCATCATATCCTTTCCTCTTATAACCCATCTATTGTATGCCTTCAAGAAACCTTTCTTAAGCATACCCTTTATCTAATATAACACCCGACCTTAACCCTTTCACTCACTAATTCCTTTGCCCAGCTTAGACAACTAATCACTAACTCAACCACCCTTCACTAACATTAACTATAGTGCTACATGACCTTAGATGTCTAGCACATTTATCTTGCTTTTAACCATTAACCATTAACCATTCAGTGAAGTGCTTGAAGTCCAAAAGAAAGCTAATTTGCCATTTTGATAGCTGATTTACTTATTAGGAATATTAATATTTATCTACTTTACTTTTTCTAGATGCCACAAGCTAATGCAAATGGTTTACCTGAAAAATTCAGAGTAAAAGCATTTATATCTCAAATACTATGAACAAAAACTTCCCTACTCATGAGAAAGTGGATGTAATCCAAATCCAAACATTAATATCTTTGTGTAGTAAATGAACTTGCAGTGACCTTGGAGAGAGAAAATAGCAGTTTTTTTTTTTTTTTTTTTGTATAAGAGTAAATCTGATTAGCAGGATTTATTGAGCATTATTGAAAGGTTTAAACAGTACTACTGCATGACAGGATCAAATACAAACTGAGAAATTGATAATGATAATTAAACAGTTGGATCCTGGTGAAGGGGACATTTCATCATGAAAAAAAAATTGCCAAGGGGAAGTAAAGGTAATGTCTTGTCATGGAAAATCTGGCTGAAGGCTGGGGCGACGGAAATATCTCGCCATTAGATAATGTTGAGTGGCAGGTGACGGACATCTTACCATGGATATACAAAGCTTTTGTGGGGAAATTACTCAGTGGGTCTTTAGCAGGGGCTTTTGCATTATTTCCACCAGTGAACAAGGGTGGCATGTACCATCAGTGAACATTCCTGGAAGAGTATCAGCCTCATGGAAGACACCATTTCCAATGCGCTGCAGCCTACTCCTCCCCACTGTGACCACCAGCATAGGGTATTTTACACTAATGACACATTGTTACTGTTATTGCACAGTTGTACACCATCTGGAAATATATTATGGATCCTCTTTAATGAAAGCATAACACATAACAAACAGCAAGTATAGACCTTGGAGAATGTCAAAAAAACAAATAACACATTTATAGATAAAGAGCAAGTAGCACTGCAAAGAGGTAAAGAGTAATGATACCATCCATGAGTATCGTGTGGGCCAGGCTTACAAGCCACACATCCGGGGGAAGGGTTTAAGGGCACAGGGCAATTAGATCAGATGGAGAGTACTTATGTGTCGGAGGAAGGTAGAGGACACTGTTTGAGGAAAACTAAAAAAAAGCCATTATGAAGCAATCAATAAGAGGAGAAATGGTAGTTGAAGTAGAAGGAGAGGAATCCAGGGAATGAGATAAGGGAACAGGGCAAGGAAGAATGGCAAGAGGGAAAGGATCCTAGGACACTTGCAACACAAGGGAGTCACGTGAAGATCCAGGTAGGAGCAGTGAGGATAATAGGGAAAGAAGAAGGAATGGTACACATGGAAAAAGGGAGTGTTGGGTTTTGGGCAGAAGAGGGGTACTTGAGGAGGAGGAGGATGGATATTAGCAGTTACTTTGAATGTAGAAGGAATAGAAAAAGAGAGATTGGAGGGTGAATAAGGGAGTGGAGCATTCTCTAGGGTCATGTTTATTAAGTGTTGGATGTTTTCTAGGGCTTCTGGAGGGGAATTGGGTGGGAATGTCAAAGAAATGGGTTTTCTTATGAGGATGAGAAGAGGGGATACATCTCTGAGGAGCAAGGGACAAGGTGGGTGTTGGAGAGGATGTGGTAGAAGATGGGGTTGCTTGATGTAACAAGTAAAGTTGGAAGGAGGGGTATATATCTATTTATTGAAAATTTTCTGCCATTTCAACATTTAAGGTCATTAGTGGGATATACAGAATATAGTGACAGGGTGGGGCTTGGGGGAGAAGCCCGAGTTAAGAAAGTGTTTTGGTTCTGCAAGGTGATGTTTGTGGATTTCCATAATGGTCAATGGTCAAAAACAAACAAATGTACCAGACATCAAAGGTTGCACAGTATTATGGTAAAGTATTGTGTTGAAAATGAATTATGAAATAGATATGAATTAACAATTCTGAATAAGTGGACAGAAAGGGAGGAAGAAGAAAAGACCCTGCAAAATTAATTGAGGAGAGGGCAGAGGTCTAAGGCAGTGGTGATCCCCAACATTGGGCTTCAGTCTCCATTTCCGAAGCCCCCCCCCCCCCATACACACACTCAGTAACAACAAGCAAGGGATTGGAGGGGTAGGCTTCAGGGAAGTGGTAGAGATTGGAGTATCTGGATTTAGACTGAAAAAGGAATTTGACTAGGGGAGAGAGGGAGTAGAGATAGGATTGTTTGGGGTTGAGGGAAGAGATATTGAGGGAGATGCTGTGACATCTTTAGAAAATTGGAGTGCAGCAGAGCAAATGATAGTTTTGGAATGGGTAGAGAGAGAAAAACCTCATTGGTGGGCTTCCTGTCTGGCCTACCACCTCAGATTTGCACCAGTTGGCAGGGCTGCTCCTATAAAATACATTATGGGAGCCACCACAATTGGCACACATGCACGACTGAGTAGAACAATTTGAGTCAGTGAGGCAGGCAAGCAGGTAGTTTTCAGTTAGACCAGTTCTTGTTATAGACAGGGCACTCAGTCAGGGAGATGGAAACAGTTCTAGTACAAGTAAGGGAGAAATGAGATTGGGCAGGAATAGCCTTGCTAGTGAGGTCAGTCAAGGTAGATAGTGCATGAGTTTGGGACTCAGATGTTACTGTGACAAGGCGTGAACAATGAGAGTGACTGCAAAAGGATACTTAGCCTACTTGGTTTTGGAGATATTGTAGGAAGAGAAGGGTCTTGTCATAGTAAGGGGCTGTAAAGGGAATCACAAAGAATCAATCCCACTTTTTATATCCTGTTTTACTCATTCTGAAAGCTGTTGTCGGATATCTTGTGAGGAATAGTGTGCTTCTGCCACAAAACCCTATAAGGCAACATCATCTTTTATGTTTCCCAAAAGCTGTCTATGCATTGTTGACCAACCAAGGAATACCATACAAATTGTTGTTACCGATGAAAAAAATTGCACCTAATCAGCCATTTCCTGTGTAAGACATTAATCTAAAATAGCTGGGCATAGAGAATCTTCTGTAACAACACAGGACTGTTAAGATGTATTTGTCAAAATTATGGGTTATTTTAAGATTTATCATTGTATCACATCTGTTTATGATAATTAAATATTTTTCTTATTATCAAAATAAAATATCATACATTCCAGCCACTTTCCTCTAAAACTGTTAGCAATCCTTATGGTAAGGTCTGACCACCAATAACTGCAAACCATAAAATCTTCCATACCTCTTTGGTTGGCCCCATATCACTAGAACAGACACTGCAAAACTGCTCATCCATTATGAATAGGTCACACTTGCCTCATGTAGTCCAATCTTATGTCCTGCTCCAACCCACCTCTAGGCAATGTTCTTCTTTCAGTCCCACATATCCCACATTTGTTTAAACCATTAAAATAAAACAGAAATGCTTTATATGAAAGTAAACGATATATTATTATACATTACCAAAACAGACTTGATATATATTTATAAGAGCTTCAGGAAAAAAATATATATTAATGATTGATGAAAAATGAAATCAAGTATACTTTGTCACACAGAAGGAAAAATAAATAAGGCCATGAGGTCATTAGAACTTTTATTTTTTTTTTGTATATAATATATATATATTGCAAAAATGTTACTCATATTCATGACAGCCATGCTAATATTTATATATATATATATATTTGTGTGTGTGTGTGTGTGTGTGTGTGTGTGAAATACTACAACATAGAATGGAAAACATCAATCATATTTGAGCTCTACTGGATCTTATATATTCTCAATGATAATATGAAACCACATACCTTCATCTGTTTTCTCTTAAATGCTCTTAAATGCATGATCACTCATATAAAACAAAAATCAGACTTTACTGATGTGTCTCCAACATGAATGGAATGAACTTTAACTGACAACCTTCTTGAAAACTATGGAAGTAACAACAGATCCAACCTTTCCACCAAATGAAAATGTAGGTGTTGGGATCACTTCATCCACACTGAAATCTGAAAAATGAGGAAACTGTAAATGCCACGGTCTAACAATCTGGTATTAAATTAATTCTAATCTAACCACATTTAAATTACATGTTTTGCCTTTTCATATTTTAAATACCCTGATTTTTAATTAATGAAAATCTATCCATGTTTTTATATAAAAATGATCTGATTTTACTAAATATACTTTCTTACAATCTTCCTACTGAGGAAAAAAAATATATATATATAAAACATCTCAACTGACTCTAAACCACAGGATGTAACTGACCAGTCTTCATGTCACTCATTATCTCTTGAAAAAACTACTTCCTCTCTTTCTAAAGTCATTGACCTTCCTACTCAAGGCAGCATTATTTATGTCTTGTTTTGATATATGTAAAAATAGAACACAAAGTACAGCAAAGGAAAACTGGAGAGGTTGTTCCTAAAGTCTGGATTAAAATCTTAGGACCAATGTAGGAATAATCAAACTAGATGTTACTCATATACACACAAGGTAATACCTATGGTGTAAATAAGGTGATTTTTGGTAGAACAGCTCCATGTTACCATAAATAACTAGACTGTTAGCCAAAATTGAGGGTATCAAACATATTACTACCTGTAACATATGCTTAAGCAAAATGTCTCCCTAAACCCTACCCTACAAGGAGTTCTTGGCCTGCAGGTCTCAAACTTCAATATCTTCCTAAATCATTCAACCTTCTCCCTTCTGAACAGTTCTGAAATAACCATCATTCTTTATTTTTTTCCTGACAAATGTAAAGTCTGAACATTTCTAATTTCATAGTACCATAATGGAGATTTTAAACTGTAAATGTCCATTGGCTGTAATTAGTTCCTAATAGAAAAATCCAAAAAAAATATTGTTCGAGTCTAAAACATTTACGTCAAGGACTTTAATTCAGCATTAAGCCTTGTAATGGTTTTGTAAACTAAATGACTGCATTTTTAAAAACAATTTGACGTATGACTTGACTAAAAAACGGCACATACTTACAATCTGATACATGAGAAATAAGCTCTTCTTCCGTCCAGTTGCAGGAGGTGATAATGAATAAACCCTGGTCTTTGGTTAGTTTGTAAACCTCCTTGATGTACTGCTGTCTCTTGGTCTCAGCATCTTCTGGGCTTAAGGAAATGGTATCATATGTACCCTTATCATGGGTGACGTCATACTTCCTTCCTGTTAATTCACTTTTTTTGTGTTCTGCCAGCAAATCTACAGTCTAGAAAAAATCAGAATGTTAGGGAACAACTAAATTTATAAAATTACCTCTTCTGCTTTCGGAACCCCATTCCAGGTTCAGTTATACTGATACTTGTTTATATTTATTCTCCTAAATCAATATCATTCAGTCTTCATTTTTAAAAAAATGGTGCTCTAGAATGAAGCTACACTTTCTATTACTGTAATCAAATATATAAAATTCAATCAAATAAATATAGCAATATAACAAAAATTGGCTAACCTCATATTTGATGTCTACTTTCTTGCTTTTTGCTATGGCTTCTGCTAGTTTTATCGCAGTACCACAATAATCAATCCCAAACAGATTATCAAAGCCTTCACTGGCCTGAAATAATGTGTATGATATATAAATTAGCTTTATTATACCTGAAATCAAACTAATATCAATATAGTTTTTTTCATATTTCCATTTTTCTTGCTAAAACTCATACTTTTCCTTTACTTTCACAAATGAATAATTAAAATGTGCAAGACTAAAAATTATGTCATTTCCCAATCAAAGTGCAATGTAATAATACTCACTAGACATAGCAGGAAAGCACCATTCCCACACCCAATATCAAGAATGGAGGAATTCTCCTTCACATCGTCAGATTCCTGGATCCAGTCCACCACACGCTGCATGCTGTCTTCACCAAACCAAATGTCTCCAATATCTCCATGGCTTGTAAAGTTTGACAGTTCTAGTTCATAAGCAGATTCCCAGCTAAAAATAAATAAGTATGAATAATTATATGAACATACAGAAAGGAGGTAAGAGCTTAAAATTAGACCACACCTGCCAGAAGCTAAGTCCAGAAGAATTCAATCCATCCCACATGCATAAACTACTACAAAGATAATCCTTTGTATTTCCATTCTGATACCTTACCACTGTGGTCTTTCAATTGAATGAGAGAGGTGGGAGGGAGTGAGTGAGTGAGTGAGTGAGTGAGTGAGTGAGTGAGTGAGTGAGTGAGTGAGTTAGAGTTAGAGTTAGAGTTAGAGTTAGAGTGAGAGTGAGAGAGAGAGAGAGAGAGAGAGAGAGAGAGAGAGAGAGAGAGAGAGAGAGAGAGAGAGAGAGAGAGAGAGAGAGCAGTGTGCATGCTTGTGTATCCGTATATCTGTGTGTATCAGAGTAAGTGTCCATGCATATCATGTATGTTTGGGCATATCTACTTCAATGTCTGTATGCGTGCGTGTGCGTGTGCGTGTGCGTGTGCGTGTGCATGTGCGTGTGTGTGTGCATGTGCGTGTGCATGTGCGTGTGGGAGAGAGAGAGAGTGAGTGTTTTTTTTTTTTTTTTTTTTTTTTGTGTGTGTGTGTGTGTGTGTGTGTGTGTGTGTGTGTGTGTGTGTGTGTGTGTGTGTGTGTGTGTGTGTGTGTGTGTGTGTGTGTGTGTGTGTACACGTGCGCGCACATTCAGATGTGTATGTTTTGCAAAATAGGACCTGGACATGGCTGCTACAATATTATCTTTCAAAGTTATAATGGCATTTTGGTGGTATCAGCAAATAGGGAGAAACAAGAGTTATCCTATCCTATCAAAATTTTGAGTGCAAAGTCTAACATCACCACAGCTTTATATAATGGTTTATCAAGTTCTTCAGATGTCAAAGTTATGGCAAATATTTATAAAGCACAAATAACACAATATCACTCCAATGCTAAGTAATTGCCAAGATTTCAGTGTCCATAAAAGGCCAATGAATTTTATCAGGTAAGATAAAGCTTGGACCATTTCCTTATTTGACAATAAATCACCAGGATTACTACATGATATCCTGAAATTCTATATATGGTAGAAGGCTAGCTGGCCATCCCTGGAGCACCAACAGGGTATGGATGTTGTGCCAATCAGGTGTGTTTAAGCATTTCCCCATATCTGTTTATTTTCTTTTTCATAATGTAGTCCTTTTGTGTACTTCAATTGTTTAGCAATTTAAAACTTGTTGGCATATTGCGGTAATGTGTAATGCATCTTGTAAAATACTTGGTACTGCATTGTAAATATCATGAGTAACTGAAAAATGTGTTTATGTTACGATAACTAAATGTTTATTATTGGCATACTATGAGTGCCATTTCTTCACATTCATGCAGTTAATCACACTCGAAAGATATCTTTTCTCAATTGCCTGGATTTACCAAGCAATTAAAATGCGTTCATCTCTTTTGAATCATCACACTCACCAAAATATCTGAATACAAGAAAGAAATAGGCCTACCCTAACCCTAATCTTTCTCATCGACTACTTAAGGAACCTTCCCTCTCAACTCAAAATTTATCCTTTAATGGCATCCCTTAATGGCATCCCTTGATCCTGACTGACTGATAGGCTTCTGTCTGATTATTTCATCCCGAATTTCCCATGACAATAAGGCAGAGAGCGAGCATGCATTCGCCTCCGAAGAAACCCACGGAACCGCACTCAAGAAAGTCAAGATTCAGGCACAAGAAGGTCTTCCATTCATTTGTACTTACTGTTCCTTTGTGCCTAACTTTGAGGATAAAAATTCGTCTGCGTCTCCCATGGTTGTCAGTTGTTCAAGAGCGAGAATAAGGGAGTATAATGTAGTACAAGAAGAATTGCGTCAGTCCTCCCCTAAACACGTTCTGGTTACGTTTTCTAGCCTGAGTCCTTGTTCCGGCTTGTGTTATTGATTTTATTTTGCTTTTCAGATATTTCTCTTTAAGTATTGATGATTACTCTTCACTGCCTACGTAGTGATGAATGGATAAATACAAAAATTGTGGTTGATGTAATGTTATTTATGTTTTGACTTGTATTGAAAGTGTCTATGCAAAACCAAACTCTACGGTACAACTTGGGATAAATACATTGATGACCTCGTCCTATGGCTGTAAAAAAATAGAAAAAAAGTCATTTATTTTTCTTTAAAAATGAAAACGGGCATTTCAGCGTTTTCTAAGGGGATCTTTTCTTTTTGGAAAAATGGGTTATTTTAGGAATATTCTGAAGCTACGATCAGAACTATAAAGGTGTAATTTAGGCACAAAAATCGTGGGATTGTGGCTTTTAGAGGTGGGGGGGGGAGGGGAAGCCACACCTAAAGAGGGGCACTCAAAACAAAGTCCCCCCCCCCCCTTCAGCCACCCAAATGATGCCCCTGGTTGATATCAATATGCAAGGAGGACATACCTTGCAACTGAAGCATTGCTTGTAAAAAAACAAAAGGATGGTACTTTGCGAGAAAAATTATACCCTGTGTAGTGGCAAAATTACTAGATCAAGTGCTTATGGTAAATCAATATCGAATATATCTAAATAGACGTCCTAAGAAATATGAAATAATGTCCATGACATACAAAAATGCAGGTATTTGTATTTTTTTCAAATAATTTATTTTGTTCACAAATTCGTTTACAAAATAGATGAATCATTATATGCATCTCCCTATTTCTCAGCACACACACGTATTTCATGGGACAGATTTAGTTGCACTTACAGTTGCGCGACGAACAGCCGGTTTTATCCGTGGAGAAGGAACATCTGACCGCCCCAAGATTCACTACTAATATATGTATGCATACTAGTATAAATAAATTTATTCACAGAAGAACCATTATATACATATACATATATATATACATATATATATATATATATATATATATATATATATATATATATATATATATATATATACATATATATATATATATATTTATATATATTTGTGTGTGTGTGTGTATGTGTGTGTGTGTGTGTGTGTGTGTGTGTGTGTGTGTGTGTGTGTGTGTGTGTGTGTGTGTGTGTGTGTGTGTGTAAGGGCCCGAATGATGGGACCTACAAGAGTATGGTAAGTGGCGAGGTAGACAACCAAGATGTCTTGACTTCTTTATTGTATAGTAATGATGGAGGCGGATAGACAACACAACACTGGAATGTC